TCAACCACAGGCAAGGAGGCAGTTGAGTGCCAAGACTGAAAATGCTGATTACGGCAAGTAAAAGAGAGATCCTTTCGGGAGGCAAAGAATATTAACTGCTTACAAGTTTTCCAGTGAGTGAGACACCAAAAATCTAATCATCCCCCTTTGTGATCCTGGATAAATCCTACTCCTCCCGCCCACTCCAGCAGCTGTTGGAGGTCTGTACACAGATGCTGGTCCTGCACGCCTGGAATCTAGGGTTGGCAGAGCACATCTTGAGAAAGAGTCCACATTCAGCTGCTGTCAGTGGTCAAGGGACGGGTCCCCGCAGGGTGTCCCCCCACTTAGATGCTATTATTAGGAATGGCTGAGTTTCCCTGGGCAAAGAGACTCTCCTTATCTTGATTTTCTGTAGTTTGATGACAATCAGGAAGAAGGCAGATCACAGGAGCAAAGCGAATCATGATCTCTGGGGCACTGAATGGACACTAGATGGTAAATTCTCCTTCCCTGTGACAACCCTTGACTCACTGCGTACCTTCCATCTCCACACACATCCACACAGATACGCCGAGGAGAAGGGCCAAGCAGAATACAAGGAAGGCGAGATTAGAAAATACACACAGAGGCAAACTTCAAGTGGCCTTGTACAGACGCCACCCTCCCCATTTATAAAATAAAGATAATGAAACTCATCTTCCCCATTTTTTCTGAGGATTAAACTGGATAGTAATGTCAGGCCACTGGCTCAGAGCAGGTTCTCAAATGTTACTTCTCCCTTCTCCTTACTTGTCCTTGAGATGAGCCAGAGTGCCTGCTTGGCTTCCCAAACCCCCTAAAATGCCAGGCAAAAAGGACCATCATCGTTGTCCCACCTTAGTCAGAAGCCACAAGTGCATACAGAGCAAAGTATTACGAGGGAAAGAAGGAGTGTGAAACACATGGTCAGCATTCCTGCTGCTAATGCCTATCTGTTAAATCACTTCTACTGAAAATCATGAGTTATTCTGGAATGCTGTACCATCAGCCCCAAAGGGCAGGACCCAACAAGGTGAGAGAGTTATGTTTTTCTGTGGAAATTGGCTAAATAATGCCATGCTGCAGCCAGGAAAGACATTTCCTCCACACCCTATTTTAAACTGTTTTGGTGGTTTGCATCAGACCTAAATAATAGCGACACTGCTCGTCTGCAGACAGCAGCTGCCCCAGGGCCACACTTCCCTTAGACAAACTCTGCTTCACTGCTTAAAAACCCAAACAGAAGACCCTGATGAAAAAAGAAACTTCAAAGCTAAATTTAGATTTCTGCACTTCATTTTTAACGAAAGTCTCCTTTCGACAATTTTCTAGAAAAAAAAGAGGAGGGAGGGAATGGATTTGTATTTCCAGTATTCACTGGAAACTATCTTTGGGAGAAACTTTGAAAAAGTTTTGCAATGGCTTTGAATGCCCTACACAAATTCAACCGAACAGCTAAAGAAGCTGGATGAAAACTTCTCGCAGCTTTCCACTATGTTTGTCGGAAGTTAAAAGCAGCTTTTCCAAGAGATCATCAGAATAAAAGGACCAATGACACAGTATAAAACAGCAAAATTGCCTATGGAGGTCAGAGCCAAACTATTTTCACTAAAAGTAAAGATTTGACCATTCAGACCAGACACCCAATGAACAGTGACTGCCTGGGTGCGAACATGCCCCCTGGCCTGCCCTGCCTCCCGGAGGATGAAGTGGGGGCTCAGGACAGCGTCTTCTGGGTGCTAAGTGATGCGCCAGGTGTTGCCAGAGACCCTGGAGACAGAAAAACAAGTAAGACAAATCCACTGCCTTTGAGAGAGTCCCATAGAGAATTCTGCCTTACTGCTGTTACCAGAGAGGCCTGCCCCCTGGAGGGAAACTTTCGCTCCAGCCAGGGCACTGAAAGCAGGTTTGCTTAAGAAGATAACCCTTGAGGTGAGTCTTAAAAGACGACTGGAAATTAGCCAAGGCAGCAGGAGTTCCAGACAGTAGCTTGAACAAAAGTGAGGTGACCCAGCTGAGGGCCTGGAACAAGGCGGGCACAGAAAAGAACGGATCAACGAAAAACCTATGTTCAGAGGGACAGTGGAGAGAATGGAAGGAAACACTCAACAAAGTGGGCTTCTGACAAAGGGGTCCATAATGCTTCCCAGCACCCAGGGTTAAAATGTGAATGCTTCTCTGGGTCTCAACACACTCCTATATCTTAGGCTCAACAGAGGCAAAGACCAGGCCTGTCTTATTCATTCAAGATGCTGTTTCCAGGTCTGAGCCACCTGCCTGGCACAAAATGACATTATAAACACTGTTAAGAAGGAAGAATGGGTAATGGACATTTTCTGCAACAGCACCAATGAAGTGTCATTCTTAATTGGAAAAATAAGGTTTAAAAATTTTTTTTAAGTTGTGTTGATAATGGAAATGGGGACCATGTAGCAGGTATGCTGGTTCTACAGACAGCAGTGTTTCAAGGTGGGGTGCTACCTTGAAAAAAAGACCAAGAATCCAAAACGTGATGAGTATCTTATAAAAACTGTAACTGCTTTAAAATAAGATGTCATTAATCCAAGTGGCCTAGAGGTAAGAAATGTACTTTCTGGGAACAAAAGCAAATAGATCAAATTCTAGGCCTAGTGGTTTCCAGAACCCTGACAAAATCAGCAGTGATTTGGGAAAAGAAATTTATCTGTACTGATATTTTTATCAACACTGAGTCCTCAACAAGGATCTCCTGTTAGGTATTTGAAAAGTAAAAGTTATATTTTTCAGATCTGAAGAGTTTTCAGACATTTAAAGTTCTCCCCCAAAGAGCAATTACTTAATTTGAGGCATTTAGGATAAGTGAGTCTACGAAGTCAAAAACAAAAACTAAGATACCTTTAAGAATATATCTTAGTGAAGTTTGTCCGTATACTGAAATCCTTGGCTCACCTGTCCATATCCTAAACATAAGATGCAATTTTTTTTTAAGTAACTGAAGAGAAGGCTATAAAAAAATCTGATTTCTTCCCTTGCTATGCATTAAGATATCTTGAAAAATGTCACGACAGGCTACTAATTATGTTAGGAAAATCCTGAAATCACTGACTTCCACGGAAAATTAAATACAAGTGGAATTATGTTTCCTATCTTGATTACAGCTACCTTTGACCTTTAACTATCTTCAAAAATGTAACTTCAAATGAATACCAATTACAAGGGTTAAGCCATTTTGTGGCTTTAATTCCATAAAAATATGAAATCTGTGGGTTTTGTAATACTGTTTAAAAGCCCAAATAAAAAGCCAGTTGGCTTTGAAGTTAATTGTTTAAAAGTGTGTATGTAGATGAACTGAGACTGACTCATGAACTACTGAGTCTGGAATTTGCAAATCATAAATCTGATCCTTGTAAACAAACCCGAACAGAATCAGGGCCCACTAATTTCCTTCTTTCATAAACGGAAACAAAAGTTTTAATAATTTGTAATGTAAACTGAAAACTAAGGGTACCATTTAAAATATTAGCAAAATATCACTTGGTTTTTTAAGAGTCTGGGGTGTAATCAGAGAGTCGAACATTCTGGTACTGCAGTTTAAGAAAGCATCCAAGAATGAAACAGTGTAATGTTAGTAAACTGTAGAACTCAAATTTGTGTTAGGATCTTTTTGTTTACAACACTGCTTCTTGCTCATTCTATTAAAAACTCCCATCTCCATGCCACCTTCAGCATAAAACATAATTGTTAAAAGTTGTCAATCCACTTCAAGTACTATGGAATGTCCTGTGTAGAAACTCCTCCACATTTCTTCCAGACAAAACCAAAAGTGGTCTGCCTCTGGCCCCTGGTAAACAGAATGTGTCCTCAAGAGTGAAGGGGTAAATCCATGGCTAATTCATTTCAATGTATGACAAAAACCACTGCAATGATGTAAAGTAATTAGCCTCCAACTAATAAAAATAAATGAAAAAAAAAAATTAAAAAAAAAAAAAAAAAGAGTGAAGGGGGCTGTCTGATCCTCTACATTTCATCCCTAATCCATGCAGGGCATCTCCAAGTCATCAAACAGAGAGAGACATAAGATGATAAAGATGAAGGGAACTAAAATGACCCAAACCTAACCACGTCCTTTCACAGATGAGGAGACTGAGGCCCATGAAGGTGCAAAGACTCTGGGTCTGTTACCAGATCCCAGATGCATATACTCAGTTCTGTAGCTAAGGGTTGCAAAATTTCTAACTGTCGAGGTCTCAGGGGTTGGATACTTTCCATAACAAATCCTTAAGAGCGCAATTTCTGCATTTTTCTCCCCTCAAAACCCTCTAGACATCAAGTTCAGGTGGGCAGGGGGATTTAAGATTTTAACTCCTCTGTTTCCAACAAACCGCTGCAGAGAGCCTTCAAGCCCGGAAGGCGGGGCTGTCCTGCTCCAAGGCAACATCTCAGGCACCCAGCACCTAGCAGGCACTCAGTAAACACTCCGCCTTCCACCTGACAAGCCCCCCCTCTGGCCTCATCCATGCCTACCCCAAGTGGAACCAGACAACTTTCCTTTGGCAATCGTTCTCTTCCTCGAAACTTTGCTAAAGTTACTCCGGGCCAAGAAGCCCGGTCCGGGGGCACGTGACCCTGGGAAGGGGCAGAGAATGGGGGACCCTGCCCTTTCGGGGCGCTGGGCCATCCCAGGCCCGGACCAGGTGTGCCCGCCGCTCACTCCGAGGCCCGCCGCGTCCTGCCTCCGCCGATCACCAACTTCTCAAACTTCCCTTTCCGGGGGTGGGGGCGGCCCGGGACGCAGCGCCCTTCCTGCCCGCACAAAGGGGACCGGGCGCCCCGCGCGCCCCCCGTCGAAGCTACTTTCCTGGCCTTTGGAAAGAAAAGCCCACCCGTCCCAGCACAAGGCACCGGGGCACAGGGACCCAGGCCACGTCCCGGCTTCCGCCCGCCTCCCAGGCCGACTGTCAAGCGCAGCCCGGCGGGGACCCGGGGACCCCGGCGCCAAGCCCAGGCGGGGAGCCACTCACCCGACTTGGGAACGTGCGGCGGGATCGTGCTGGCGATGCGCGTCCACAGGACGACGTGCAGCGGCCACAGGCCCCCGAGCAGCCCCCGGCCCATGGCAGCCCCCGCCGCTCCTCATAGACCGGCCCGAGCGGGTACGCCGCGCCTCCGCGCCCTCCGGCCCCGCGCCGGGCGCCCAGCGGCGGTGCGGCCAGATGTGGCGCCGCGGGCCGCGGGGAGGGTGGCGGCGGGCGAGGCGCGGGGGGCCCCGGCGGCCGAGGGGAGCGGAGCTGGAGGCCGGCCCGGCCGGCGGGTGCGCGCGCGGAGTGTCGTCGGGCCCGGCGTGCGAGTGACTCACGACTTCGCCCGGGCGCCGCGGGGGAAACAGGAAACTCCTCGCCAACAGCTGGGCAGGACCTCTCGCCGCCCGGAGCCTGCTCCCCGGCTCGGCTCCCGGCCCTCGCCCTCCCTCACAGCTGCCAATCACGGCCCCGGGACCGGCCCCTCCGGGGCTTTGGCAAACTTTCAGCGGCCCCTCGCTGCCCTCCGCGTTCCTCACTCCGAGGACTGCTGAGCAATAAGTGCACAAGTTCCAGAAAGTCACTGAACGCAGGGTGTATGTGCACTCTCCAGGGCACCGCCAACCAGCATCCTCCCACTTCCCTACAACCCTCTTCGGGCTGCTCCTAAGTGCCTCAGAGCGGGGTTTTCAAACTTCAAGTGGCTAGCCAAGAGTAGATGCTGAAATCCGAGTTGTTAGCAGTTTTTTTCCCCCAATAAAGTAGTATTTCCTCATTAGACTTTTGTTTCAATTAATTGTGTTTGCCTACACCATCACATTGTAAAACGTTTATCTTACTGCAGGTGGAAAACTTCAATGTGCCCACGGACCCCCTGAAAATCGTGTTAAAAGGCGGCTTCTGCTTCAGCCTGTCTTAAGAGGCATCGTTTCTGATGAGCTCTTGGGTGATGCCTCTCTGTTGGAATCGCCTGTTTCTGGGAGTGACTCAGTGAGCGATTACTAATACAAACCACCACAGAGAGATAATTGTAACAGGAAATGTTATCTTCAGAATGTATTGGGTAAGGCAGAACGTGTGAGAGTAAAAGTGGCCTGGGGTCAGCTAAGTGCCCGGGCTTGCCTTCCAGCTCTGTCTGTGATAGGACAGGGCCCTGGGGCCCTCCCTGCAGAAGGGGATATGGGTGAGAGGGGAACAGGATGAACTTCCAACTTCCCCATCTCGGTCAGGTGACCAGGTTTGCCCCCAAACAACCCTGGTGTATATTTGCTTCGAAGTTGAATTATTAACAGGCCCCCCTTCTATTTCCCATGTGTCCTGGTTAGATTATGACTCATATGCTCACCCTACTTCTAGCCCTGAAAGACTTAGATTCAGTACAGCCCTCTGGTCAGGAGATCTTCCAGCAGGTTACACAATAAAACGCTTTTATCTGAGAGAAAGCTTGTTTGTAGAGGCAGGTGGTCAGCCTTACTGGGAATAAAGGCAACTAGCTCTCCCTGGAAACCCAACCCTGCCATCTTCCCTGTCAATCTCAGAGTTCTTTTGCGTGATCCTGGAACAAACTTAAGTCTTGTCACCACTGCTCCACCCAGCATGGAAGCTGCTTCTGCATGCATCTTCTGGAAAAGACCACTTCCTAGCTCTAGAATTTGGGATGCAGGAAGTGGGATGAAATCAGCAGGGCTGGGCATCTTCCTTCCCACTAACAGCCTTGCCAAAGTCCCTTGAGTAATGGGGGAAAGCTGAGTTCAAAATCCATTTCTCTTGTTTCCTCCACAGTCACCACCCAGGCCACCACCATCCCCTGAGTCGGTGTTTCCTATCCATGCATCCCCAGTCAGGGCCATTCTGAGCCTTTTCACTCCATTTCTCAAATTAGAGTGAAAGTCAATTTTCCAAAGGGCAAACTAGATTGTACCAACTCTTCTATTAAAGTCATTTGCAGACCTCCCGCAGCTCTTGGGCTAGAGGATGGGAACAAGATCCTTTAAGGTGCCCTGGAGCCGCTTCCTTTCTAGTGACCTTCCCTGGTTTCTCCTCTTCCACTGAGAGCGTCTCTAAATTCCCAGAACTTGCCCGGTGTGTGTTCCTCCCCGCTCCACCAGAGGGGTGTGCACGCCCCTTCTTCTGCTTCCTCTGTCCTCCCTTCCACCCAGCCTGCTCCTGGTCTTCCTGGGTGAATCCTGACTTCCTTGATGGGCAAGCTTTCCCCGCCCTCCCTTTTATTATAGATTCACTTGGCACCGTAGGCCTCTCCTTTTTAGCACTTACTTCACCTGCAGTTTTATAATAATTTGTGTCATTTTTTTTCCTTTCCACTCTCCCAATTTAAGTCCAAATTTCTCAAGGACAGGAATTATATATCTTTTCCTCCACTCACTATTGTATCCTCAGGACCTAGCACAGAATAGTTGTTTAAGAGACATTTGTTATGTGAATAAATGAATGAGGTAATCATTGAGTAGAGAAAACTGTAGTTAATCATCCTATTTAATCACTTGAGACAAGGCATTCTATTACCTAACAAACTGAGATATAAACAAGCTAAATTTTAGCTGAGGATGATGTCATACTACTTCCTTTTCTTACAAATGGAGAAGTATGTGGGGTTTTTTTTTCTTTTTTTCTAAACTCACCCAAGTTCCTCTGGCCAGTATACATACACTCACTTCCTTACTCCCAGAAACACAGTGAGGCAAAATAAATGCCCAATCAATTCCAAAGGCCTTCTTTTCTATAATTATTGCATGCAATGAACAGACATTCTACATTCTTAGAGGCCCGGTTTAAGGTATTTGAATCCAGGATGGGATATTTAACTGGTGATCTCTGTCATTGTATATGATTAATCCTGATTTTAATTTTATTTGCCTTTAACATTTCTGATATAATCCTCAATCCCCTGTGAAATTGAGAGTCTAAATTCAGCATTACCAAGTGAAGACTCATCTTTGAGAAACTACTGAGGTGAAATCAGTCATGTAAACTCACGTATACTGCAATTTGACAACCTTACGAATCTGTCAATATGACCTTCCTTTGGGGATTTTCACTGCTACAGTCCCATACCCTTAAGCCACAGTCCTCACACATAGTTGCATATTTAACTTAATGTCATCTACTGCGCATTCACACAAGCAGTTAAGATCCAGTTGCAAAAACTAGACCTTTTACAGATGGAAACAAAAACTAAAAGTGTGACTCCGGGCTTGAAAAACAGGGAGGGGAGTCTTCTCTGGTTGTCTAGTGGCTAAGACTCTGAGCTCTCAATACAAGGGGCCCAGGCTCAACCCCCGGTCAGGAAGCTAGATCGCACACGCAGCAACTCAGACCAGCACAGCCAAGTAAACAAATAAATAAATAGAAGGCTGGAGTAACTATGTTAAAAAGAGGGAAACAAGGAGGGTAATTTTTATGTTCTGATAAAATTGAAAAACAATGAAAACCAACTTGAACAAAAGTTACACAGCTTGTGTATCTTCGTATCTTGTTTTTGCAGCTTTACAAACTCTGAACATATACACAGAAAACAACTGGACTGGATCAAAATGTGGTTACTTCAAGTCTTGCATCTCCCAGCTGTGATGAGGCAAGAACTTTCCACTCCCCTGAACTTTCTGACATGCAGCTGTCGAGGTTACTGGAACTAAAGCAGTGGTCAGGGAAATTCCTCTCCATGTACCTTGGCCATTCTGCATCCTCAGTTCTTATCTCTGGACCAATTTTCCTTCCACTGTGAAGCTGACCAATAGCACTGAGACAGCAGTGAATGTGTGAGGGACACCCAGCCCCTCAGGTCATCCAGGATGCTACCTCCTCCAGGAAACATTTTGTGATTCCTCCAGCCTAATGTCATCTCTCCTCCCGCAGGGAGAACCCTAGGAGCATTTATTTAACCTATCAGGCTTCCCTGGTAGCTCAGTGGTAAAGAGTTCGTCTCCCAGTGCAGGAGACTTGGTTCGATCCTAGGGTTGGGAAGATCCCCTGGAAGAGGAAATGGCAACCCACTTTACTATTCTACCCTGGGAAATCCCGAGGACAGAGGAGCCTGGCAGGCTACAGTCCATGGGGTCTCAAAAGAGTCAGACACAACTGAGCGACTAAACAACAACAACCTATTTTTAAAATGTTTTGTTCCATTTTGACATGGAGCATATTCATTTATTTGGAGGAATTCTAATGCACCAATTATAAAATCTCTGAAAACACAGATTTTTCTCAGCTGTGAGTGAACCCAACTCTGTGCCCTACAGTATTCAATGTACGTTTGTCTTCACTAAGGAGAAAAATGAGCATCTTTCTCCACTCCATTTTCATTTCCTTGTTTTCAGTTCTCCAGATAGTCAAAGAAACTACAATTCTGCCACATGTTTACAGAGAGCATGAACAGCTTCTTTTGGAGATAACAAAACCTTTTAAAATCACAAAAGTAATATATATTCATTTTAGGTAGAAAAATTCTCAAATACAGAGAAGTCAAAGGCAGAAAATGAAAAGTATCTTTAACCCTGTCACCCAAAGATAATCCCTTAACTTTTGGAGCACGTCCTCACAGTATTATTCTACTTTTCGCTGTGCAGGTAAGCACACATGAGCAACTGAGGTTCAGAAAGACTGTATTTGGCCAAGGTTGCAGGGTAGTAAGGACCAGAGTCTGGCTGCAAAAGAGGCCTGTCCAGCTCTGGAGTCTCCACTCTAGGGTAAGCTGATCAGGCGGTTGATCTATCAGCACCCTTTATTCTGAGAAGACTCTGGAATGGTCAGTGCCACCCTTTGCTGTTGCTTCCTCGTCTCTTACTCATTAATCAGCCACTGCAGCCCCCTGTCCGGTGGGAAGCCCTTTTGTTTGGCTCACACCTTGGTCTGCAACCAATACGCCCAGTAGGCACAATTCAGTGGGCATCCTGTCTAATGCTGTAGCTACCTGCACATCATCTCCTTCCTTTGACTGCCGCATTGCTACTGTATTCCCTTGGTACTGACTGAACTGCATCCCCAACATTCACAGGGTGAAGCCCTACCCTACAACATGACTGGATCTGAAGGTAGGATCCTGACCCCCATGACCGATGTCCTCACAAGGAGGGGAACAGA